ATTCAACTCATCACAGAGGCTAGATATATCCATGAACCAATTACCAGGAAACTCTGCTACAAAATGGATGAGAAGGGATCCCCCCACCAAAAAAAAATGGAATTATCTTTTGGATGGTGGGTTCCTTGTGTACACTCGAAATTTGTTCCTCCAGATCAAACTGTCACCCAACTTTTTGCCTGGAAGTTTTGAGACGGTTGTGTCACGATATGCAGAAGAAATGTCCTGACTTGTGGCAAACTGGTCACCAGTTTTCCTGCCCTGGCAATGCACCTGGCCATACCACGCCGAGCGTTGAACTGACCAAAAGTGGCATGACCCCTACGCTCCGCCCTCCCTATTCACCCAATCTCCCCCTGAGTGACTTTTTGTTGTTGTTGTTGTTTTCCTGGAAGAGAAAAGTCCTCCAAGGGAAAACATTTTGCCCATGTGGAAGAGGTGAAACAAAAAATGGCAGAAGCACTAAAGGCATCAAAATCAATGAGTTCAAAAACTGTCTTGAGTAGCGCTAAAAGCGTCTTGATAGGTGTATTGCATCAAACTGAGAGTACTTTGAAGGTGACTGAAGTTTAAGCGTAAGAATAAATACACAATTTTTTACTAAGTAAATTCCAGGGGGTTTTTGAGTGTGGCCCCCATCTCATATAGTGAACTCACCACTTACACACACCACTGAGTCCCATACTTTCTTGGGCTTCTTTATTTCTTCCTCACTTGATAACCAACACAAAAAATATTGAACACATCCTAAGCATTGCAGACAAGAATAGAGGTCAAGGAAACTTTGCTGGAATGAGGATGTTTGGTTTAGTAGCTAAGTCACTCAGCATACCAACCTAATGGTACATGACTTGAATTTATGCCTTAAGAAAACTACAGGCTGGGCTCAGTGGCTCAGCCTGTCATCCCAGCACTTTGGGAGGCTGAGGTGAGAGGATTGCCTGAGTCCACGGGTTTGAGACTAGCCTGGGCAACTTGGCGAAGCCTCATCTCTACAATAAAACAAGAAAAATTAGCCAGACGTGGTGGCACATGCCTATTGTTCCAGTTAATTGGAAGGCTGAGGCGGAAGGATCACCGGAGCCTAGCTAGTCGATGCTGGGTTGGCCATGAGCATGCCACTGCACTCCAGCCTGGGCAACGGAGTGAGACTCCAACTCAAAAAAAAAAAAAAAACTACAACTATGTAGAATTCTTAAGGCACAAATTCCAATATGCTATGGACTGGCAGGCAGTTTAAGGTACAGTTGAAACTGTAAGTGTGAAATGCCTAAAGGCCAAAGTTCTACTTTATTACGCTTAAACATACGATGTTTTTGCCAGTCATTTATCAGTTTTCCATCAGCTCCAAGCCTACCTTTTTATACACCACACTATGAGGCTGGGGCTAGGAGTCATTCCTATTTCTCAGACTCCCAACTGGCTTCCAGTTAGGCTCCATCAATGGAAGGCACTGGCAAGAAACAGTAAGATGGGAGGTACTGAGAAGAAAGTCACTTAGTGCTTCTAGCCCAAGTTGGCATCCCTCCAGCAGAAGGCACAAGGCTCCTGACTCACTGTGCCTCGTTCGAGGTACCAGCAGCAACCATGGCTACCCTCCTACAGCCCCCTCCCCTTTGGCAGTCTGGGCATCAACTAGTCCCACCCTTGGGCTGCTCCGGTCCTAGACACAGGGCATCAGGCATCAATCAGAAATCCAAGCATCAGTCTTCCATGGACTTCTCCAAGATCCTAGATTCTGATAACACCACTTCTTTCTTTTTATTCTTTCAATCCCTAAAAATGATAGCTGTTTTCTTAATTTATTAATCTCTGGATTATGTCAATGTCTACTTTTTGCTCCTTTGGGATTTCCACTATCCTGAATTAACCAGTTCCCTGTATTAAATTCCTTCTGTTTGAAATAATTAGCATGGTTTCTCTTTTCTTGATTCAACCTTGACTGATAGCAATTGTGAAAATTAAAAGTTCACTTTGTTTGCTAGAATTTAGAATACAAGTTCACTTTGTTTGCTAGAATTTCTCTTTTTCTGAAATCGTAATGTTAAAGAGTTTCTTCCAATGCCAAGATTCTTACTTAAGGAAAATTGTTATCAAAAAAGCACAAAAAGTAGTTCTGTTAAATAGTTATCATGATTGTTCAGTTACTCAAGTGTAAAGCCTTCATGATTTATAAAAACACTCCACCCCCAAATAAATAAATAAATAAACAAACAAACAATAAAAACACTCAGCCCAAAGTGTCATTGATAATCAGCACTTATATCCCGAAGTCCTTCACTCTTCTGGAGTCAATTTCTATACAGACAAGCTGAAATCAATACTTAGAAACCAATATTCTTAGGAGCATTCTGCCAACCATGCCAATGGAGTTGGGTCCAGATTTAAGTTGCACAAATAAGTATTTTAAAATCTGTTTTTACAAGCCAACTCTATTTAGGGGAGGGGGTAGTAATTACTCATTCAAGAATAGACACTTTCATTTTATGAAAAAATTTACCTGAGAATATCTTTAGAAATTTAGATATACAAACATATGTTTCCATAAAATGGGATTACATTATGTTGGTTTTTTTCTCTAGAAACATCTGTACCAGGCTAATAATTATGACTGCTTTTTAGTTATAGGAATTGTTTTATTATTGCCTATTCGTCTTACAATAAGCACATATTACTTTTATTATAATGGAAAACATATTTTAAAGTTTCTCTAGTGAAAATGTAAAATACTTGAGTTTTAAAATGGGATTTACCTTCCATTTTAATGAAAATGCCTCATACGTTCCTTTTAGTCAGTATCTACCAAGCATCTATGGAATGCCTAGTAGAGTACTAAGAAATTCCCACAGTAAAACTCCTGTTCCTGGAGAATCTAAATCTTATGGGCAAAGTTCATAAGCATCTTTATAATATGTGGCAAATATATGATATACTCTCAATGAACATTTGTTTAGTGAATACATGCATGTACCATTAAAATAATTTATTTTTAAAGTCATTCATAGAGGATTAGCCATGTTCAGTTCATTTATCATACATATATCATATTTCATTACTTCTAAAACACATTGCTTTTCAATAACTCTTAAATCAGAATGGGGCTTACTATAATGTGATATTTAAGTATTGTATCATAGATGATATGCAGCATTTTCTCTCTTATAGTGGCAAATAAAATAACAATATGTCTTAAATGACAGCATCTTAGATTGAATGAAATACTATACATATTATATTTTACATCTACTTTAGAAAATGCATGTGTATATTTAGGCTTGCTTTGCCAGGGTTCAATTGGGAAAAGTTTTCATAGGACCACTTCATTCAAGGAACGTTTAAGTCTCCAGTGATCACATGAAATCCACAACTACTAATTTATAAATATTAAAAACAAACTGACAAGTAGCAACTTTATAAAAATGTGTGCATTTATGAGAATTTATATTTCAAATTCTTCAAATTAACATTAAACATGTATTTCTTTTCTTTTTTTTTTGAATAGGAGTTGCCCGGGTGGAGTGCAGTGGCTGTAGTGCAGTGGCTGACCTAATGGGCTCAGGCCATCCAAATAGCTGGAACTACAGGCACACACCACCACGCCTGATGAATTTTTTGATTTATTGTAGAGATGAGGTCTCACCAAGTTGCCCAGGCTGGTCTCAAACCCATGAGCTCAGGCAGTCCTCTCGTCTCGGCCTCCCAAAGTGCTGGGATTACAGGCATGAGCCGCAGCGCCTGTATTTCTTATGTTGAACTTCAATATAAGGCATAAGTGTATGCAAATTATAGACATTTTAAGCACTTAAGTATCTAAAAGATTTCTGTATTTTAGTGTTCAAAATTAGCCAAAGGCTTAAAGTGTCTAGGAAATATAAGCATGACTAAACTATGTAAGAACTGTGAGAGGTTCTAAAAGAAATATTGATAAAACCTTACAGGAGAGATTAAATTAACTATGAGAAAAATGAAATGTTATGACAAAGACAGGCAGAAAACACAGAAAAAAATTTAAACCTTAAAGAACTTTTTAAAATTTTAAGACAAAACACCAAACTAATAAAATATGAATCATTAGCAGTATACCCTATATTAACTACATAATAAAGAAATAACTCTGAGCACTGTGATGTAAAATAATGAGCAAATGCATTGGGGACATTAAAGAAATACAATACTTTATTAATAATTGGCATCTACCAGTTCAATGAATGTTAAACCTGGTATATCTAGTTTAATATACAGTCTTTTCACCATCTCTTAACCTTCCTCTTTTTTCCCATATTTTTTCACAAAAAGAAGTTTTCATTGATGTGGAAGTTGAAAGAGGGCAGGAAAGAATGGGACAATATGTACTTTTAACCATGGATGACCATTACCTGTCCCTTGTCCTCTAATCCTGTAGTTACCAGGGCCTCCCAGGTAACTTCACTGAGGATTTTTGAGAGCTGTGGTTATCAGCGCTTTCCTCTAACACACCACACTTTCTTCCTTCGTGGGATCAGGAATATAGTCTGGAAATACACAGAAGCTCACTTGGACAGTCCCACACCCTGCTCTTGCCAATTCAAACCATAACTCACCTACCCACCGATCAGAACAAAGCTGTCCAACCCCAGCAAAGAGGCTCTTTTTGTTATTGCATACTTTAGGAAATAATTTTCAAACCAGGTAAGTTTCTATTACTATAAAATAAAAAAGGGAAACCCACTTAAGACTGCAGCATACATTGAACATAGAAAGAAAATAAAAACTCTGAACTTTTTCAATCAACATCATATCAAGACCTAAAAGACAAGGAAGATGTGATGACTAAAAAAAAAAAAAAAAAAAATCATACTTTTGTGTGCTACAAGTTTATAAAAACATTTTCAATTCATAACTATACTCTAATCATTAACTGGATTAATTTTCCTTTGACTTCCAAGTTAAGGTTTCTTTTTTTTTTTTTTTTTTAAGTTGTCTAGTGTTACAGTTTTATAAACTTTTTTGGCAGAGTGGGAAGGGCAATTTGAAAGCCAGATCTGATTTAAATAAGATTAAGACTAAAAGGTATAGAAGTGAGAAAATTATCTTTAAGAAGATGTTGCCTGACCATGTGATGATGGTATGGGTTGTTTTTTCGTACAAAATATTTTCAAAAAAGCCTTTTGAAAATGCTTGTGACACAATGGATATAAAAAAGGATTGACAAAGGAATTGAACCACTGAAGCCAAAATGCAATTTCATACCAAACCGATTTAGGACGTTCCCCTGGGGGGTAAATTGAAAGAACAATTGTGAACAGAGAATATGGAGCCCAGCAAATGGCAAAAACACCTAAGAGAATGGCCAGTGACTTGGCTAATTTCCTGGCTCTGTGCAGTTCAAGATGTTCCCTTTGGTGAGAAACTACAGAATCTGGTGGGGAGAAGGAATTCATTTTGGAAGCAATGATACTGCTGTTCATCTGAGTTCTTAAGGAAAACAAGAGACTGCTTTTTCTTCTCTGTCTCTCTGAATGAAGGGGTGCAGCTGCTTCCTTCGGTGCAGGAAGAGATGTCCTTGAAAATAGTACACATCTGAATGAGTGTCCACAGTTGCTGGAAGAGACAGAGGCGAGTCTAACATGGCTTTGGCACCTGCAGAGATGGCCACGCTTCCATAAGCTCCAGTAAATATTCACGTTGAAATAAGTGACTAAGAGAACTGGGACCAGAAATTCCAAGGATGATGTGAGGGCAAGGATATACCATTTTGAAAAAAATCCAGGTTCACATTTATTACCCTCATCCTTCCAAGTCTCTGAAACTAGAATCATCGGCCCGTTCACTAAGAAGGCCACCACCCAAACGGCCACCATCAGAGTGACAGTCTTCAAGATCCCAGTGTGTTGAGCTCTATAAGACACCTAGAAGAGACCAAACAAATTATTTTCAATATAATGAATACACATTGATTGCATAAAGCACCCCATGGGCCTCAGAAGTTTCAGAGATTTGTAAAAAGTGGGACATTAACCTGAGTAACATGATGTGGACCAGGTCAGAAGGTTTAACTTCAGTGGAACCTGGGCCAAGATACAGACAATCTTAATGGTTGTCAAAATGAATTCTGTACGTTCAAGGTTAAACCTCCAACATTATAGAAAACGTCAAAGCCAATATCTAAAATAAGAAAACATTTTTTCCTAATGGACATTAATCTGAACGTCAAACAACTAAAATTGAGCATACCTTATCACAATATCCCTCAATCTGCAGACTGGGTCACGACCAGCATTTTTTTTAATGAAATAGAATAATCAACGTCAAAATGCATCACACATAATAGGGTAGGTATTGTTTGATGATACATCATCAAACAAAGCAATGTATCTTTGGGAATGTAGATCTATAGAGAGAGAAAGAAACACATGTACTAAATTACAATGTAAAATGCATTTCTCACTGTGGTCGTTGTCAAAAAATTTTGAAAGTCATTGCCTTATCTGACCGATATTCAGAAAGAACCTACTGGGCAGTTGATGCTGCCACTTCAAGGTGGGATCGAGGAGAGAAAGAACAACTCCCAAGAAGATCAAACACAAACAGAAAGATGTTTAAACCTGCTGCAGAGAAATACTACATTGTTACTAAGCTCAGTACCAAATCACATCTTTGTACAAGGGTTTCCACCTGACAAACACAATGCCAAAGCTGTGATGACCATCCACTTTGAGAGTCATGACTGTGGCTAGTACCACCACCTTCTTTTTGTTTATTTGTTTTTTTGAGTTAGAGTCTCACTCTGTCACCCAGACTGGAGTGCAGTGGCCACTCCCGGCCACCGCAGCCTCGACCTGCTGGGCTCCGGCAATCCTTCCACCTCAGCCTTCCAAATAGCCGGAATTACAGGCATGTGCTACCACCCGGCTGATTTTTTGATTTATTGTAGAGATGAGGTCTCGCTGCCCAGACGGGTCTCGAACCTGTGGGCTCAGGCAATCCACTCACCTCAGCCTCCCAAAGGCGCGGGATTACAGGCTGAGCCACCGAGCGCGGCCCACCACCTTCTTAGAGGGTGAAGAATGTTCTAGATTCACTTGGTCACAAAGTCAGGCCTACTCTATAAGGGAAAATGAGATTTTATGACTGAAGATTGCCATCAAATCACAAGACCTGCAATTTGGGAGTCATTCCTGAAATCTTTGAACATATCTTTTAATCTAAAGACACCTAAGGTAACCACCCTGTATGAGAGATAAATGTATGAACCAAGAATGTTTTAAGGAGACCTGAAACCAACAACCTCTCTCAACCTTAGTTGAATCAGTAAGATTCCTTCCAGCTCAAATGTCCCATGTTTCTCTCATTTCCTCACTCACAGGAAAGAAAATGATCTTTCATAGCCTATTTTCTCTGTGAGTTTTTAAGTCTCATTCTACAATAATTTCTCTATTTTTTCTTTTTTTTTTTTTTGAGTTGGAGACTCACTCTTGTTGCCCAAACTGGAATGCAGTGGCACGCTCACAGCCACCACAGTCTTGACCTACTGGGCTCAGGCGATCCTTCCACCTCAGCCTTCCAAGTAGCTGGAACTACAGACATATGCCAGCACATACAGCTAGTTTTTGTGATTTTGTAGAGACAAGGTCTCATCAAGTTGCTCAGGCTGGTCTCGAACCCCCGGGCTCAGGCAATCCTCTCGCCTCAGCCTCCCAAAGTGCTGAGATTACAGACTAAGCCACTGCGCCCGGTCAATTTCTCTTTTAAAAAAAAAAGAGTGCAACATTACCCAACACTGTCTTTCTCAGATAGATTGTACATGCTGAGAAGGGCTCACCAACTGGCTGGAGGTAAGAGGGAGCTAGTTAAAAAAAAAAAAAAAAAAAAAA